TCAATCGGATAGTCTTCTTAAAAACGACAATAAAAACAAAGAGCCACGACAACAGAACTTCCCGTTTTTTTTAAGTTATTACGAGGTCATACCAGAGTGTTTCTGCTATTTTTGTTTTCTTTTTTTATCGATGGTTGATTTTGGATTACTGCCACGCAGCAGCGGTCAAATTATCTGCTTGGGAGAAAGGAAAAATAAAGTTGAACGTACTTTTTTTTTAATTCAAACGTGTCCGCCATTTAGTAGATGCTGCGTCAATTATCCGAGTCGGAAAATGTTTGTGGCGAATACTCTGGCCTGCATTGGGCACGAGGACTCCGTCCGCGTTCGGTTAGGACTCGGATCCAATCGAAAGCTTAGTGCCTCAGATGGATGGATGGATATTGGCTGTGCCCTTTGTAACGAGCGGTAACTTGCGCCACCTAGCCAGAGATAATGCATTCCTCCCCTTCTTAAATACCCAATTTCTTTCCCTCTACATCTCCGCAACTATAACCGGGCCGGGAGAGTGAACCAACAGGCTGACCTTTGGGGGATCGGGCGAATACAAAATAAAAATAAAAAAGGGAAACGCACCCCCGCTTTTTTCCCCCGGCGAGGCAGTAGTCGCCAATTTTCCTCAACCCAAGAAATGACAACCGTCATCGTTGCTCGATGACATCTTGAAAAGGATCTATTGAGGGAGGGCAACTAAAACCTTCAGGCCTGATTTCACAGACTGCCTCCATACGCCGCTCCACATACACTTGCGTGCACCCAAACCTCTTTTAACGACCAAGGGGCCCAAAACGCTTTGGTGTAGCATGCACCCGCGCAGAAGCTATGAAAAAGTACATTTAAAAAAAAGATTTCTGCGAATTTATAATTTTGCAGGACACAAAACAAATTTAGTCATAGCGAAAGAGAGATGGACCCCAGCGTATGACAAAATTCGAAGCAAAATTATACACAAAAAATACTCATGTGCGAGTGAAACGTCATAATCATTGTCCCTGTCCACATCACATTTTATTGTCTAATCATATACTTAGCCTTATAATGCGCTGGAATCTTTTTCTTTTTTTGCACTGTGATTGGCGGCTTTTGCGTTCTACAAGAACGTGAAATTAGAGACCTTTTGTAAAGTGTATTTTCTGCGGCGAGCGCTACGATCATTGCAATTTAAAAAAAAATGAGGGCGTGGGTTTTTAAATTAACTCTTCGTGCTTTGTGACTGGTTTTTTGGCGTTCACATCGGCCGACGCCGCATTCCTATTGGCTGCTGTGGGATAAGAAGATGCTCAGGGTTTCCCTTGCGATGGCTTTCACGAGATGTCGGCTCCGAGGTAAAGCGATGACATTTGGATGCCCAGTTCGCGTGTTCGAATGGCGGTCGAGGTGTCCTAATTTTGACCGTGGCTTCTCTGGACAAGGTGCTGGGTCACCCATGGTTCCGCGTAAAAATATCTCCGGTGATGGAAATTATTCGCGAGCCCTTATTGCTGGGGCGTGTCAGGAGTGATCTCCGACAGTTGGGAACGTGAAACTCCCAAATTTGGTCTGTTGACAGTCCCTGATACTCCGTAGATTGGAGTGATTAACCCACCGAGTGCTCTGCAAAACAGTGAACGCTCATGTACTTCTACAGTACAGACGGCCCAGTTTTGTTTCTTCCTTTTTTTAGGTTTTACTGGTTTGTGTAAAGCATAAAATGAGGTCGTTCCCGTAGATGTCGGCAGGGGAATCACCACAACGTAGAATCATTTGATACATATAAAAAGCTATTTTTATCGCGCTTAAAAAAAAAAGAAATACGCTTTCTCGCTGATCGTTGCCAAAAGAAATGTAACGCGATAAAATTTGGGATTTTTTGCTGCTCAGTTAAGGCATGTTCACACATTTTTGGCTATACTGTTGGGTCGTATACGATACCGAATACCTTTTTGAAACGATACGTAGAATGGGTGTCAAAATGTTTATAGGTTCTCTTCAGTATTTCTCTTGAGCACGCTGTTTTACAAGATGACTGGAGAACAGCAAAAATAGTTCCCATATATAAGGACGGGGATTGGAATACAGCGTCAAAATGCAGGCCTATTTCTTTAACTAGTACAACATAATGTTAGAGCACATAATCTTTGCGCATATTTTATGTCACCTAGACAAACATAACCTCATTTATAGAAATCAGCACGGTTTTAGAAAGTCACTGTCAACCACAGCCCAGCTCATTGAATTTACACATGACTCAGCTGAAAGAATTAATGAATGGGTGCACTATCACGTAATGTACTTTGACTTTTCTAAAGCGTTTGACAGCGTGTGACATTCAAAATCGCTTTCAAAAATTTCCAACATTCTCAAAAACTCACATATTTCAAGTGGTATAACTTTTTATTTAACATTCAGAAGCCAATACGTTCACCTGTTATACAATTTACTCTGATAAACTACCCGTTATTTTTGGAGTATTCCATGGCTTCCGTGCTTTGGCCACTTTTGTTTTGGGTTTTTATTAACGAAATATTTAACATAAATGTCCCACTACGAATTTTTGCAGATGATTGTATTATATATAACGAAATAAGAAACCACAACAACAACCTTCAGCTTCAGGAAGCCTTGGGGGCAATATTGAATTGCCCTAAAACGTGGCAAATGAAGCTAAGGTTTGTTAAGATAGCCATCATGACAGTCTCATGTAAAAGAGAGCCGATCTAATTTAATGGCTTACTTGAAAGACAACCTCTTAGACGAATCCAGGAATATATATATTTAATATTTGTTTTTGGAATAAACTCAACTGGACCCAGCGCTTCGAAGCGACTGTTTATAAAACGTGAAGCACTTCGTTTGCGTTGAGAAGGAAACCAAAAATTTGTTGATTCAGATAATAAACCTATTGTCTATAAAAGGTTTGTTAGACCTGTGTAAAAATACACCAACTCATTGTGGCAGCCTTAGGCGCAAAATGGTACTCTCAGGCTTGAAATTATTCGGAAACTGCCTGCTAGGTTTATTTTTATTAATTTTCGAACAGGAAACTCATCCGCAGAACTGCTTCTCAGGGCGCAACTTCAGCCGTTGTAAACGAGAGAAAAAAATTGGTAGATTAAAAGTACTGTATAATACTCTTAACGGCACTATTCGAATCGAAAGCCCAAGATACTTAGAATCATTATCGACAGGGTCCCGACGTCTAAACCATACTGGAGCGTTAAAATAATACAGGTTTAAGCTTAATTACTGTTTTATGTATTTTTCTTTTCTCGGACAATTCAAGAATGGAATGAGCTAGAAAACAATATTGTAATCTCAACACCTGTTTAAAATTTTATTACTGCTCTGGAAATGTTACTTTCCTGAGTGTTTCTTTTTACTGTTTCATTTTCGACTGTACTTTCTGTCGTATGGTGTGCCCACTCCTGCTACGGCTTCTCAAGTGGAGCCAGTAGTATTTAGAAATAAATATTAAATATATAAAATAGTCAATAACAGTACCAGTGACACCTTATAGATGGCGCCGCCAGTACGTTCGCCCGTCGTGAGAGATCACAAGAAGTCAGCTATGAGCCAACGCGTGTGTGAACCAGCCTTGCAATACTGTTGAAATTTGGGCTAGTTGGTGAAGCATGTTTACGGGTAAAGCAGCGCGAACAAGACACAGGATAGAGAAGATGCGCGCAGACTGAGCGCTGACTGTCAACTGTTTATTTTGAAAGAAACGCACAACGGCGTGGTCACACCAAACAGAAATTACATCACGACACATGACCGTCACATGATCGTCACAAGTAAAAGCCCCTCGAAAATGCCAACTCACAATCATAAGAATCTATCGAAGGCGCGCAGACACAGTTGTCTTTGAACTTGAAAATGTAAAAGGCCTCAGTTATCTCCCTAGTTCGTTGGTGACTGTGTCTTCCCAGCCACCGTGGCATCTTCCAAAACCGGGGATCGCAGTGAACCGCCAGATTCCCTAACGGAGACGGCCTAATCGAACACGCGTGTTTACGTAATCTATCATCAATGCACCGACCGGTATGGCCGATGTAAACTTTCTACAAGTCAGGAAAATACTGTAGACCAACCCCCCCCCCCCCCCCCCCCCGCGAGGGACAAACTTGTTTTACAGCGAAGCTGCATACCTCTACCTGACAAGAAAATTTTTTATGTCGTTGGGGTGCTACAGTATTCCCCTGACTTGTAAAAAAGTTTGCATCGGCCGGACCGGTCGCTGCATTAATGATAGATTACGTGAACACGCGTGTTCGATTAGGGCATCTCCGTCAGGGAATCTGGCGGTTTACTGCGATCTCCGGTTTTGGAAGATGCCACGGTGGCTGGGAAGACACAGTCACCGACGAACTAGGGAGATAACTGAGGCCTTTTACATTTCCAAGTTCAAAGACAACTGTGTCAGCGCGCCTTCGATAGATCGTTATGATTGTGAGCTGGCATTTTTTAGGAGCTTTAACTTGTGACGATCATCTGAAGGTCACGTGTCGTGATGTAATTTTTGTTTGTTGTGAAGACGCCGTTTGACGTTTCTTTCAAAATAAACAGTTGACAGTAAAGCGCTCCGTCTGCGTGCATCTTCACTGTTTTGCGTCTTGCTCGAGCTGTTTTAGCCGTAAACGAGCCAGCCTTCATTTGTTCGTTTGTCTTTCAGATAAGTTGATTCCTACATTGTTTGTTTATAGGTTGTTTATTCAACTTTGATGGAGTTCATGGGGTCGTCCTGCGCACTATTTTGCGTGGACTGGGAAGACCTTACCCTACACTGCGTCACATGACGTCACAATAAGATGTCACAGTTTCATGTGACGTCACATCTGGTGGAGTCGCAACGCCAGATGACGCAAGAGTTTCACGTGACGTCATGTAACACTGCGCCAATGGTACACACATTCAAATTTCCCGTTAAATTTAGCGAGGAAGCAATCTTACGGTGTGGCTGCTCATTAAGTTATATCGCATTTAAAAAAAAAAGTTTCTTATATCAGGCTTGTTTCTTACAGCTAGCGACCATGTACAAGAAAGATGAAACAGTCAAACGCCTCGTGGAGGAGTACGAGTGGAGAATACACCCGGTCGTCAACCCTGATGGATACGCGTACACCCATACTATCGTAAGTGCTGCCGTTGTATTCACTCGATTAGGCTAGGTGGAGCTAATGCCACTGGATACTTTCGGAAGTAGCTCCAAGCTTCCGGTATGGTCGCCATTTTGGTTCATGGAATGGGCATTTTCTCCTTGTTCTCTCCATTCATTGTGAGTCGACCATTATATTTTGTCAAAAAAATAAACAAGTTTGTAAGACCAGACGATTTTTTTTTTTACTTCAAGTCCCATGGGAATTCTGAATAATATTAAAACGTGCGGTGTGGTTTTTGTTTTCTCTTAATATGTCACGGGGGAGTCATATTAATTAGTTGATTTCAAACTTTCAGGTGTGTTGGTTTGACGCACTGCCACAGCTCAAATTTTCCAATTGCTTTTAAAGTAGTGACTTATAGTGAGTTATTTTTCTCACTTAAGTTATTGCAGCCTTTTCTGGGGTGTCACCACGGAAACCAATTTAGGTAAATTTACCTTCTTCAGAAGAAAAAAAGTGTTTAGCGGTACTCATGCCCCCAGTGGCACTCACACCGAGATCGTGTTCAATTATTTGAAAACAATAAAAATTTATAACTTACATGAATATAGACTATGCGTCACTACCAAAAACAAAAACAACAACAAATAAAACCCAAATTATAACAAAATTAGCTTCATTAGAACGAAATAATATAATTTACGTGACTGGCCACAATGAATATCGGAAAATTCTTAAATGCAAATCAAATTATGGACACCCAATGATTGAGTATATACTGTAAACGACTTAATTTTCGCGGGCTCAAATTTTGCGAATCAGACCAAAGCTAAATATTTCAAATTATTCGCGGGTTCTAATTTTCGCGAATCGAGTGTAGCTTCCGTAGCGCTCACATATTGCCCGAATTGTTCGCGGGACGCACTTTTCGCGAATTGTAGACGATTCGCGAAATTCGCGAAAATTCAGTCGTTTACAGTAGTTCCCAACTTCCTCAACAGATATATAAACCTTGAGTTCCGTTCCGTTAAACAGCTACGCTCTTTTTCTTGTATGTTTGAAGACATATTGTGAATTTCACACTGAATTACTGTTCTTAGTTTCAATCCTGTAATAATGTGTTTTTGTGTGTGTTCTGTACTACCTGGCAGAAATATGATTTGTACCACTGCCGATGCGGCTCAGGTCTCGACAAGTTTGGTAGTGAAGCTTCTGCCCTTCCGCTCCACCATTTCTTTTAAATGGGAAGCAAGCATAATCATAATCATCCTCATTATTGATACTGTTGATATTATTAGTAATCGTGACGTCATGCATCCTTTGAAGTGACGTCGTGGTGCCACGTGACATCACGTGACATCGTGATGTTTAGCGAAGAAGTGTTCCCGCTAAATTCATTAAAAAAATGTCCGTGTGCAGCGTGATTCTGTGTAGTGGTCTGTCCTCAAGGATGGCGCCGCATTTCATTCACTGGACATTGCGAGGAACCGTGAACTTTTTTACGTAACATCATTGGAGACGTTTAGTAGCCCGTGTCGCCCCTTTGAAGCATGGACTGACCATGCATCTACTGTGTGCTCGAATTCCGCAGCGTACGGTATAACAAAAGTCTCCACAAGTGTGTGTTAGCATTGCCATAGCTTGCTCTATATTCACGAAGCCTGGCAGATCGCCACGAGACTCGGCCGCCGAATGTGAAAAGGTAGAGCGGGTGACAATTGCCATGTAACGGGCACCCTGCTGCGGCGAAACGTCGAATCACACTTGTCCCGAGCGATGGAATGTCCGCTCGTGCTTCTCACGTTCCTCGGGCTACCGCTTCTTTTCTCGTCGGGTTTGAAAACCATGTTTTGGGTCCTCGCCGCTGCAGAAGATGTGCGCTGAATACAAGACTCCCCGAGAAATGCTCTGTGCTATCGTGCAGATCATCGTACTTCAAATGTACGACCGGGCACTGCATGGCTAAGCCATCGAACTGCCAGGCTTTGTGAGTATATATAGGAGGCTATCGTATCGCTCATACGAGCGAACGGAAGCACACGGCATTTTCGCTAGCGTTGCGTGCTCCACGTTGCGCGCGCGCGGAGCCTACACAGCATCTTGTTTTTGCGCATGGCGACAACACGCATGCGCAGAGCAGAACACGAAACGCTAGCGACAGGCCGCACAGGGTTTGCGTTTGCTCCTATACAAAATAATCGATCTATAAATTATTGGTGAAGAAGCCTAAAGTACGAGAATCTTTCATTTATATTCACTGGCGGCTTCAAAAGCGCAGGGCGTGGTGCGCTTGAGAATCTTCTTATTTACCCTTAGACAATGAAATCATCGTATTGGTTGAGAAGAACGCCCAAGAACGAATCGCCAAGGAAGAAACTTGAACGTTATGCGCCACCCCACGCCCGTATTTTTTAATCGTTCAGTTACTAATGGTGATATTCGTGAACTGCGTGCCCCACACTCTAATAAAGGTTGTGGGTTAACCCTACCCCAGAATACGAGACAAAGAATCACGGCGAACAGTATACGTATCATAACGAATGGCGATGCTCAAAATACGTATAGGAAACAAAAAGTGCTACGTGCCCGCGGGCAACCAGTACTTGCTCGTTCTCCCCGAACCCATCGCATTCTTCAGATCTGGTCGTACTCTGAGCCTCGTAATTCGCTGGGATTCTTCTATAAATCGCTATGATTGGCAGTCTCTGTATTGGAAAGTGAAGACACAGACTTGTTTTAGAGTGCAGCCTGTCGTCTAGTGACATCAGCTCTCCTCCTTGCACCCGTCGTCGCAAAGCGCCGGGGTTCCTGCGTGACTTCTAAAGCGTTTCGTGGGTAATGATTTGTATCAAATGATTATAATATTACAAATTATCGAAGTATATATCCCCGAGAATAAAAGCCTTTTAATAGATATACGCACTCCGGTTTCTTTGTGAGGAATCTAAAGGATGGAAACTAAACTGCCGGGATAAGCCATGGCTCCTCTGCCAGTAACAAAGAGCGAGAAATAAAACTATCGTCAAGAGGATCTAGAAGGTAGAATAAAATAGGGAAACTACAGCACCATGTCGGAACTTTCATTGAGTCTCAGGTGAGACAACACCGAATGCGATGCTCGATCAACCCGTTTTCAATTAGCCTGTCCATCCGCCGCCATGCATTCTAAGAAATACGAAACGCTTACTGTCGCGCAAAGTGCGACGGTAAGCGCCAACTTTCGAGCGCACTGCTCGAAACGCGATATAATATTCGAAGAGAACTCCGTGGCTGGCGACGCTGAAAACCGGTTTAGATGTACACAGAAGTCTGCGCTGTGACGCAGATCTTGGTGTTTCGCGTTCTTTCGCTATTCAGAGCGCGGACAGGCTTCCTTTTTTTAGCTCATTGTATTTCTGGTTTAGAAAGTGGCCAAGCTCTTGCCGTAGATTGCAGCGATTGGCTCTCCCAACTGCTTTATGGGAAGGTAATCGTCCAAGAATTTTAGAGCCGCGATCAGACCGCAGCGAAAGCCGGGGTCCTTCTACTCACACATCAAACAAAAGACGATGCAGACATGATGACAGAATTATCTGCCGACGCTCTTCAAGTGCTTTCGAAGTACGTTTCCTTCGAATGCGTCTGCAGAGAGTCTTTGTATGGCTAATCTGACAGCACACTCGAAACAAAGAAGAAGTTCGTTAGAGAGAGTGTCTGCAGACTGTCTTTTGTATGATGTACTATCGAAACCTGTTATAACGAAGTCGGTTATAACGAAATAGCGGCTACAGCGAAGTGATCACGATTTCCCATTCGCTTTTGCACTTCGTTATAACCGATGACGGTTATAACAAAATAGCGGATATATCGAAGGAATTTCCGATTCCCGTTGACTCCGTTATAGCCGGTCTCGAAAGTATCAGCAGCGTGAAAGTGGCTTTAGACTGATGGCTGTCTTTCGAACACTCTCTACTACGCGATGTCTTTCTTGTCGCCAACGTTTCAGGATCGGCTATGGAGAAAAACGCGGTCGGTGAGCAAGATCTCCGGGGGCTGTCGGGGAGCAGATGCTAACCGGAACTTCGACGTGGGTCCGTTTTGCGGTGAGTGTTGTTCGGGGATCCCTAATTTGCGACGGCGAAAAGGTCAGCTCAGGAATATCTTCCTTTCCTCTTTGTTCCGTCTGACGAAGTAAATAAGATGACCAAAACATTTCTAACTAACGGAGAGGCGAGCCGATGAACTTCCAGCGTCTTGAATACCCGAGACTTTAGGAAAAAAAGAACCTATCTGTGCTTTGTGTGCATTTTTATTCCTGCATGAGTCTCGGCTTTTCGGGATGTTACGAATAATGCACGTGCGCTATCCGCTTTAATGTAGCGACGAAATTATAATTAGATCTTTGAAAGATGGAACCATTGAAAGATGCTGCGATTAAAGAAATATTTGTGCAGCCAGAGTCGAGAGCGCTAGAAAGCAATTTGGGTCCGTAGAATTCTCATGGAACCCGAACCGAGCTCAACTACAATAAAAGACAATGTTGACAGGGTGATAACTGGTTTCTTAGCACCTTTAATAACACTCGTCAGTGAACGATTTGTGCTTTTTATTCAATACATCCATATGCTTATTTGTTTCTGTCTAGAAATGATAATGAAATACCCTTGTATTACGGGCAGGTAAAAATGCATTGAGAACCAACTCCTTTAAAAAAATCAACGAACCAGAGTGCGTGGATGGATGCTCTGGTATGCTGATTTTTTGGGTAAGCAAGTGAAGGCGTGTTTATCTAAACCTCGCCCCCCCCCCTCCCCCATCCCTCCTCTCTCCCGTAAAACAGGTGATATGACATAAATGAAAACGCGCCATTCATAGCACCGAAATCGTCCCATTGACTTACCCTACAAGCTTTTACGAATTGTGGCCTTGGAGCAGGAAATCCGCTCAACCATGGCAACAACGCAAAAAAAAAAAAAACGATGAAAAAATGACCGCATCTCCACGTGGTGAATGATGTTGATTAGGGCGAAGCTCTGGTGGTGCTGATGATACTGATTTTGTTCATAGGTAGTGCTGATGGTGCTGACCGCAGCGCCCCCTCGTCTATAAACGTTGAGCCAATGCATGCAAAGTTTAACGCGATTATATACGCATTTAACCGCAGCGCCCTCTCCTGTATAGACGTTGAGCGGCTACATGCAACGTTTCATTTATAACATCCCCAGCTCTTGAGTTACTACTAAGGTCTCTCTATACTGGAAAGGTAGCGCCATCTCTCCTCCTCACCCTTTACGTTTCTCTCTTTCTCTCCTTTTGGCGCCGCGCGCGCCGCCTAGGGGGTACCAAGAAGGAGAACTCATAGAGTTATTATAATGTACGCTAGAGGTTCAACTGGCGCTAGTGTCTATGGGACTTCCGGTTGCAAATTGAAGCAGACAGCATGCAGTCTACTTTTCCAGTCGTCCTGTGTATTCCTATGGGAAAGCGCGCGTGAATTTTGTCTCGTCGCCGGAAAATAACATTAATAACCTTTGTTATTTCGGTTGTACCGGGTACTATGTACCTTTATTAATATTGTGAAAGTGTAATTGATTTAGTTACACCATTTTTCTTCACCACTGAACGATGTTAAAATTCGTTATATTTCAGGCCCAAACCTATGTTCCATGGCTGGTATGTAAAAATAAGCGACGATTCTAAGCAAAATAACAATCGAAAGGAATGTAGAGTGCGTTCAAGGTTCGCTGGCATTCCGGCGGCGCTTATATATTGCTAATATTCCCGCTCTGTCTCTATATGAAAATGACTCCGTCGTGCATTTTTACGATCTGTTAAAAAAAAATAAAGTATGTGGGCTACAAAAGATGTCTTTTTATTATTTTCTATGTCGGGCAGTTTTAATCGGGCACCTGTTCCCTGGCTCCTTCCTATTTGCAAAGATTTGGAGCCTACGGGTGATGATTTGAACCCACAACAAGCATCTTCGCGCACATGCGATCATGAGCAGAAAGAATAAAGCAGTACTTATTTATTGCAAATCTGACTATATTACGTGCCTTTCAATTTATATTTGGTCATCTGCATGCACAAGGAGTTACTTATCTAGTGTTACTACGTAGTTCTTGCCGTCTCTCTTGGTTTTCCACATGTCCTTCGTTCGTTTGGCACGTATGTCCCTCGTGCTGGATAGCGCCGACGCCGTGTTCGCGCTAACAGTGTCCGACAGTGCACATAAATACACGTACGTAGCGGTTTTAGCACCGTTTTTCGTGCCACAAATTTCAAATAAAAACGCTGTAACTGACCAATTATTTCGTCCGCGTGACTGAGAAATGTTCCAAGCTACCTAGTACGTACGAATAATTCGTGATATTTGCTGTTATAATCGGGCGCAGAGAGAAAATGCACTCGCTTTTTCCCCTAGAAATGCATTACCGGAAGTCAATTTCGGACTGGTTGCTGTCTGCTTCAATTTGCAGCAGCACACTAGCGCCAGTTGAACCTCTAGCGTACATTATAATAACTCTATGGGAGAACTAGCAGACGACGGCCGTGTCCTCTCTGCGCATTCAGAGCGCACAATCTTTCGCGTTGCGTATTTGAAAGTGCAGGTTTCTGATACATTCTGACATTGCATAGTACCAAGCAAGTGTTAAACACCAAGAAAGAATGAGTTAAACGTGACGGCAACGTTTTCAACCTTCGGATAAAGCTCACAGAACTGTGTACATAGAAAATAGAACACAGCTTTATCTCCACGAGTAACAATGCAACGATATGGTTCTCACGACTGTTGTAAGCACCGTCATTGTCAGTGATTAAATACGTAAGATTGCCTTCATAATATTCGGACCCCCATAATCGCGAGAATTTCTATATCCTGCAGTCTTCCACGAGCTTAACGACTACAAGCGCGCATTGCGATTGCTGCTGCCTCCGCGCTAAAAAGAGCTTGAAACGCTATAGCAATCATACCGTAGATAAACATGCATGAGCTATCAAGGACGCCGGACTATTGCGATCATTACTGTCGATCTGGTTTCGACCGGGGCCTTACGAAATTCGGGTGACTGCATGTATTGCAGATCTAGTTTGTCACTCGTCGCTCTTCATATTCGTTTCCCTTTTTCTTTTTTTTTTTTGAGGGGGGTTGGGGGGGGGGGGGGGTACGGTTGACGTTGATCCAGTGCTATTGTATTCCGATCTGTAAAGCCCTTCTGTACTTACGAATCGGAGGTGTCGGCTGGCCATACTACTGCAATACCGTTGGAAACTAGTGTTCCTTCGAGTGTACCGTAACTTCAAGCACTTTTTTTAAGTTTAATGAATTTTACAGTTATTTGCCAGAAATAAACATAATCTGCACAAGCTACGTAAAAAAAAGATTGTGACAGATTATTCATATGATGTATTACATAGCATCACAGTTTAGAAGTTTTGCCTCCTTTATATTTACTAAAAGTAAATATATCCAACTTTGGTTTTGGTCATTACCAGAATGGGGAAACATAATTGCAGAGAAAACGCAACTGACTCGAGATTAAAATATGTGGCATATATTTATTTTCAAATTACCACAGACTACCATAGCCAAGACAGCAGTGAATGGAAGCACGTATACACATGCTCAGATATACTTTTTACAACAAAGACAATGGATGAAAAATTATTAAAAGGAGTCACTACACAAATCTAACAGGCGAAACATAAAATTATAAAAAGGTCTCACACTAGCCAGTTTTAACAACAAAGACAGTACACAGAAGTATTATTACAAAAAAGCCTCATGTGAAATTTATGTATACAACACTAATATATACGGCAACTCATTACAAAAATGTGAACCCATTTGGCCCACGCGAAAACGCCGCGTCGCGGCGTCCGACTATTCGCTAAAGTGTCATTCGGTGAAACGTGGACGTTCACTAAAACGTCATTCGATCAAGTGAGTGTCTCCCGTCCTTCCCCGGCCGTCCGACAACGCAATCCGTGGCGAAACGCGAAACGGACGTCCAGCTACAAAAAAAAAAAAAAAAACGAAACGTTACACGACCAACGACAACAGCAAAACTGGCCCGAACGTCTAAGCAAGTACGGATCTGTCCGACGCAACGCAAGTCCGGCGTAGCTTGCGGCGCAGCTGGCGACGGGACACACGAGACACGGGAGAATTTGCTGGCTGGATCCTTCATGGCTGCCAAAGGGGCGGAGCGCTAGGAGAAGGTCACGTGCCACACATCGGCCTACCGCTGAGCTCAGCGGCGGGATCAAGGGTTGTCGCTACTTTTCCAGTATAGAGGGACTTTAGTTACTACCACATCTCAGAGCCCCCTACTCGTCCCGCAGTCGTGGCCGAGGGGTTAAGGCGATGGAAGAAATCAATTGGGGTCTCCCCGCACAGGTTCGAATCCTGTCGACTGCGCAAATCTTTTTTTTTTTTTTTTAAGAAGACAGCTGGGATGGCAATCGATGTGAGCACGGACGCCGGACAAGGCTAGACCCCAAGGAGCTTCGCCCCTAAAGTATAAATAAATCCTTTCGTACAGGAGTCGGAACCAGCAACGACACGTGTTCGGAGATTTACTGCGGCGACAGTCCCTTCTCGGAGCCGGAAACCCGTGCCTTGAGGGATGCCGTGCTGGCTGCCCAGGATCGCGTCTCGTTCTACTTCGGCCTGCACAGCTACAGCCTCTTGTGGATGTTTCCCTACTCGTACACGACCAGAAACGCCACCAACTACCAGGAGCTGGTGAGTTGATCCGGAACGCGACGCATATCGGTAATGATAGGGTGACGCTCTTTTCTGTAAATGCCGATAAACCCCGAAAGTTAAACCCCCAAACCTGTAACAGGCTTGAGCTGAGCTGGTTGGTTCACAGTTCACTTAAGGCCTAGCTGAACTAGAAAAAAACATACACATAAAGAAAGGACCATTCACACCGCTGGACTAACAACTGATTTTCTTTTTCCTCCTATTCTACTACGAGCCATACTTGAGGGAACAATTCTCTTTTCCTTCTTTTCCTCTTTTTTGCTTTCTAGTTCACCTTAAAATTTTCTTTCTAATTCCCCTTAAAAGTTTTACCCCCGAAGAAATCTTTTAGATGCGGAGCATCTCTTGCTCGGGTCTATGTCCCGCGGCGTCGTAGTCCGCACTCACACTACGCATGCGCAACTCTCCTCCTTCCCTCTCTCCAACAGCTGCGCGTTACTCTCTCCGCTCTCTCCCTGTACCAGCTGCGTGCACTTCGCGTGCGTTCGCTTCTACTCACACCGCGCGCGCATGCGCAACTCTCCTCGTCTAGTCTCCTCTCCTTCAAGTGTGAATATAAGCAGCGGTAGCGCGCGCAGCGAAGGGCAAGCGACGCTGAGCATAAACGCTTGAAGCAAGCGGCAGACCCTGAACCACGGCAACGAGAAGCGCCGTCCATTCGTCAACGTCGAGCGGCGGATGCTGAACTACGACAACGTGAAGCAGCGGCGGTTCGAGAACGTCGAGCAGCAGGACCTGAGGTTCGGAACCGTGAAGTTCAACGTAAACGTACGAAGCGAGCGGCGGAACCCGACCTTCGAGAACGGGAAACCGCGTTGGTTCGTGAACGTCGAGCAGCAGAACCTGAGGTTCGGGACCGTGAAGTTCAACAACGTTACTAACACCGTTAATAACACCGTTAATAACGATCCGCGATGCTCCGCATCACCCCATAATTCCCCTTGGGAAGATGGTGTAATTTTTTTCTTTCTCGTGCAGCACGAGAGAAGGTGCACTAATGCAGTCATCGCCTTTTTCCTCAATGGCAAGTGCCTCTAGGATTTCACGTCCCAGTTTTGTCTTGTTCCTTGCCACGATGTTTACGTCGTAGAACAGTGCCAAACATTGACACGCACGACAATGGATTGGCAAGTGTCCTCCTGCTGACAGGGTTTTCACTAATGCAGCGTGCTCTCTCGTCCGATCGTTAATGCATCGGCCGGTTTGTCCGATATAACTTCGGCCGCATGTCAGCGGAATATGGTACACCACCTCCTTTTCACACAGGGCGTATGGAGACTTGTGAACTGTGCCACACCTTTTCTCGTTGTTACTTCGCTCCTGGTTAACCCTGCGAAACATGGAATAGGCTTTGTTTGTAAAACTCAGCTCTCGAGACTACAGGAAGCTGGGTACCCAAAATCGCTCCTGGTAGCGATTTGCGAACAGGTGTGCAGGACCATCAAGCGCGGATTAGGGTGCACGAATAAAAGCACAAAGGAAAAGAAAAAGACTCGACATGCGGTGTTGGTAGCACCCTCTGTTCACGGGATGACCCACTAGTTGAAAAAGGTTGCTGGACGGCAAGGCGTTCAGGTGGTGTGTTCGGCTCCAAACAAAGCCTATTCCATGTGTCGCAGGGTTAACCAGGAGCGAAGTGACAACGAGAAAAGATGTGGCACAGTTCACAAGTCTCCATATGCCCTGTGTGAAAAGGAGGTGGTGTAGCACATTCCGCTGACATGCGGCCGAAGTTATATCGGACAAACCGGCCGATGCATTAACGATCGGATGAGGGAGCACGCTGCCTCAGTGAAAACCCTGTCAGCAGGAGGACACTTGCCAATCCATTGTCGTGCGTGTCAATGTTTGGCACTGTTCTACGACGTAAACATCGTGGCAAGGAACAAGACAAAACTGGGACGTGAAATCCTAGAGGCACTTCCCATTGAGGAAAAAGGCGATGACTGCATTAGTCGTGCTGCTCTCGTGCTGCACGAGAAAGAAAAAAGATTTCTTCGGTGGTAAAAGTTTTAAGGAGAATTAGAAAGAAAATTTTAAAGTGAACTAGAAAGCAAAAAAGAGGAAAAGAAGGAAAAGAGAATTGTTCGCTCAAGTATGGCTCGTAGTAGAAGAGGAGGAAAACGAAAATCAGTTGTTAGTCCAGCGGTGTGAATGGTCCTTTCTTTATGTGTAGGTTTTTTTCTAGTTCAGCTGGCCTTAAGTGAAGCCCCAAACCTGGTTTATTCGATTTGGGGAAAACCAAAACCGATTTGGAGTTGTTTTTGAATATAGAAAAACACAAGCTTCGTGGAAAAGTGTTTTTATTTGTAGCTCTACTTTTTGTTCATCCAGAACAATGCCCACACCTAACTGCGCGTGAGGCTATCTTAGCGACGCAAGCCCATTGTACTGTTTCCTTTTCTTGTAAGAGCCCAAACGTTTTTCAATATCTGGGTTACTCACACGAGGCTTGTAGGTTGGCGAATCTCGTCTCCGTGTCCTATTTTCTTTTAAAAAAAGCACCGATAAACCCAGATTTTGTTGATTTTACGACGTCAAAAGTTGGCACCGAAAAGCAACAAGTCTACACCCACAAATTAGCAACAAAATAAATCCAGTGAACATGGAATTTTAGTTATAAAGCATGGAAGGCCGTTTAATGGTGTCGCCAAATACCAGAAATGTGTCGTTCGTCCGTGCATGTCACCGCTAACTTTAACTGATAACATTCACGTTACTTGACGTGATGGAACCACATAACGCCGCTACTTGACTAGAAGTCAATATCCCCGCTAAATTGAGCTACGAAATAACGTCACGTGGGGGCACGGTATTACGTAACACCACGACTTGACACCGTGACCAAACGTCGCAAGACGTAGTCGCGTGATGCAGCGTGACAGGACGCCGAGAGCATGGGTGTGTGAGGGAGCATGATCACCTGGAGAAAAAAAGACGTATGACTGCTCCGATTGGCGTGTAGCTTCCGCCACATTGTTAGCTCATGGTGAACGGAGTATAGTCCCATGTCGGTACATTTTCTGGAGTGAATTTAAGACGTCGCCTTAGAATGAAATTCTGATTTTTTTCACTGCTTATCTTTAAAAAAAAACCTTACGCTCGCTGTAGTAATTGAAGCTGGCAGCTCACTGAACAGTTGTTAAGCTGGTACAGACTGTGCCCTCAACGTTTTGATTCTACAAAATAGTCGTCCAACTGAAGCATCCCGGAATATATTTGAGGGAATGACCAACGTAGGGGCCGTATTTATTAAATAAACACCTTGAACTACTTGATAACAAAGCTTCATATGTCCCTTTACTGTCTTTTCTGAAGAAAGAAAGAAGAAAGAAAACCTTGAAGGTAAACATCTTCGACAGACGTCTGTCTGGTTGGGAAGTGATAATGAAAAAAATATTTGACTCCAACCAAAAATTAAACTCGGACCCAACGTTTCAAAACCAGTTCGGTTTCTTCTTCAGGGGCGATTGATCTCGTGCGTGGGAGCAGCCTCGTCTTCTTTGGTGGCACGAATATCTTCTAATCGCGCTTCCGCCTTGCCATCCAGTCTTTTTCTAATCACCGTGCCGTAGTCCACTCACATAAGCAGATGGTAAGGTACCCATGGATCTGTTAATATTTCCTGGTTTATTTTGGATGCGCCATGATTCAAGGTGATGTCTTATTCGGAGATTTGTTTCAACATCAAGAACGGACGCGTTCGCGAAGTCTATTTTAGGGTCAAAGGTGTCACAGTGCTCCGCAAGAGCGCTGCGTTCTCGGTCGAATTTGCGAACATCGTTCTTGTGCTGGCGTAACCTTTCCGTAAAGTTCTTTGTTTCGCCGATATAAGATGAAGGGCATTTTAAGCAGGGGATCCGGTAAACAATTCCCGGTGCTTTTTTCTTCGGGGGGCGATCTTTTGGTCTTGGCATGAATCGACCGAGAGTGGATACCGGTTTGTGAGCCACGCGAATGCCTTGTTTTGCGAGCACCCGTGATAGTGCTTCGCTATAGTCGGTTGCAAGCTAAGAAAAAACCGGAAATGCCTCTCAGAGGAAAATGTAATCCTACGCCGAGAAACGCCAGCCAATCGTTTTCATGACGTCACGTATCCGTGGACCAATCGCGATCCTTTTGAAAAAAAAAAAAAGCTCAACATGGCTGCTGGCCTTAGCAACGCGACACTAGTTTCTCGTGACAATTATTCTGCTTTTTTGCACCGTGTTTTACGTGCCCGAGGTTACGCCACGAAATCTTAATGGTATCGGCTTGCGTTTGCAGCAGTTTTTGCGCGACAACGTGAGAATCCAGCGACGCTATCGCCAACGAAAATTTCGAAGCGGGCGCGAGGCTTAGCACTGCTGAGAGGTATGTTAGACGGTATGTTAGACAGTATCTTGGACAGAAAATGAATTGGGAAGACGGTACATTGGACATGACTTTCTTTCTTTACTAAACCGCTATTTCGTTGACCAAAAACGTATTCTAACTTATTTAAATGTCCTGAATGAATTAAATAAATATTGTAGTAGTTTAAGACACGTTTCCTGGAGGAAGAAAAAGCAACGTTGCTAGCGAACTACTTTCTCGACGGCGGAGGCACTTCAGATGGGCGCAATGCGCTTGTGGGTGGAGCTAAAAGATTGTTCTTAGGTTGCATCCGACTATAGTACCTTGAACGTAGGGAACGCTGATGCCCGTGATGGGACGATGCGGCGCAGCTCCCTTCGGTTGTGGGTTTTGGCGAGTGTGAAAAGTACGTTTGGTGACTTGTCGGATGAACCTTGTAGGGTAGCCGTTCTTTGTCAGGTCAGCGATCACACTCTGCTCCTCGCTTTTTCTGTCAGTTTCCGAAGAACAGATAACAGCCGCCTTGGACATGAGTGTTGCAACGACTGATGCCTTGTGACTCGTTGGATGGTTCGACTTATAATTAAGGTAGCGTCCGGTGTGAGTGGGCTTTCTGTATACCGAAAACTTCAACTCTTCCCCTTGCCTCTTCACCAGTACATCAAGGGATGGTAAAGTGTTGTCTTTTTCCCGTTCCACGGTGAACTGGATGTTGGGCTCGATGGAGTTGAGGTGAGCCAGGAACTTATCAACTTCTGATGTTTCCAATATACAAAAACAGTCGTCCACATAACGCGCGAACACCTCAGGTCTGTTGGTAAAGGACTGTAGCGCTCTTTGTTCTATGCTTTCCATTGTCAAATTTGCAGTGGTGACATATATGGACGCACCCATCGCAGTTCCGCTGGTTTGTTTGTAAAAGTCCCCTTTAGAGCAAAAGTAGGTGCTGCGGAGGCAAAAGTCAAGAAGGCGGCACAGCTCGTCCACGCTGAGGCAGGTTCTGGTGCTGAGTTCGGAATCTGATTCGAGAACCGTTCTGGCTGTGGAGACTGCCAGGGGTACTGGAACGCTGGTAAAGAGGGACACGACATCGAACGACACCATGCTGTGTTCCCTGTTGACCTTCACTTCCGACATGCGTTCAACGAAGTCACCGGCATTGCGGACATAGGTGGATGCTTTTCCAGTGAGAGGCGAAATTATCCGGTGTGAGTAGTTCGACAAGGCCCGGAGAAGAGAGGTGGTGAAATCTACTATGGGTCGCAGAGGGACGTTGATCTTATGGATCTTGGGCAGCCCATAGAAGCCCAGTGCAGAGCCATTCCTGCATATGAGCTGAAAGTAGAGGCCTTTTGAATCGGGATGGTTCCTGAAAACATCTGCCAGAGTCTTGTTCAGGCCGTCTTGGACTTGGCGGGTCAGATCTTTCTTTAGCTTTTCATAAGCAAGACTGTCAAGGAGGTCTCCGACCTTGTGCTCGTAAGCTTCCCGGTCTAGGACTACAGTCGAATTGCCCTTGTCCGCAGTTAGAATTACGATACTGGTATCCGCCTGGAGCTCCCGCAGCGCTTTGATTTCTTCTTTAGGCAGGTTATGACGAGGTTGAGAGCTGAGTCTTGAAAGAATACCTATTGCCTTAAGTCAGACTCCTTCGCGAACGTCGGGATCCAGGTGGGAGATTCCGTCTTCTACAGCTGCGACCATTTTCGGCAGGGGTGGTCTTCCTGAGGTCACGCTGAAATTGTGACCTTTCGCCAAAACGTCCGTCTCGCAGTCAGGAAGTCGTCTAGATGAAAGATTCATTACAAAAGCGGGGTTGCTGCTTTTGTTTGTCGTGCTTGACTTTGATAGAAAAGAAAGCTTCCTCTGCTGGGACGAACGTTGCTTCTTTTCGGCAGTGGCCGCTACGTTCTCAGCAAACAACTGCAGAGATGGTAGTACGTTTGGAATCTGATGTTCGAGCTTCCGACGTAGAAAAAACAGATCCAGTTCCTTTTTCTTTATGGTGGTATGGCATTCATGAATTCGGGCGTTGAGCAAGCGATGTTCTGCTTGAGCCACGATCCGGTGTCCCTCTTGAGTGTGGACGATAAGCTTAAGACGTAGGCTTTGCGGAATCACGCGCATGTCTCGGCAGGTTTTCGTAAAGTCAAGGTGCGTTTTGAAGACGGAGATACTGCGAGTAACGTTGACATACCGCTTCGAAAGCTGAGCTGCCGAACGCCCGTAATCGAGGTGTAAAGACTTGAAGGTAAACATCTTTGACAGACGGCTGTCTGGTTGGGAAGTGATAATGAAAAAATATTTGACTCCAACCAAAAATTAAACTCGGACCCAACGTTTCGTCCGGTATACAGGAAGCCCACACACCGGACGCTACCTTAATTTTAAGTCGAACCATCCAACGAGTCACAAGGCATCAGTCGTTGCAACACTCATGTCCAGGGCGGCTGTTATCTGTTCTTCAGAAACTGGCAGAAAAAGCGAGGAGCAGAGTGTGATCGCTGACCTGACAAAGAACGGCTACCCTACAAGGTTCATCCGACAAGTCACCAAACGTACGGTTCACACTCGCCAAAACCCACAACCGAAGGGAGCTGCGCCGCATCGCCCCATCACGCGCATCAGCGTTCCCTACGTTCAAGGTACTAGCGAAGCACTATCACGGGTGCTCGCAAAACAAGGCATTCACGTGGCTCACAAACCGGTATCCACTCTCGGTCGATTCATGCCAAGACCAAAAGATCGCCCCCCGAAGGAAAAAGCACCCGGAATTCTTTACCGGATCCCCTGCTTTAAATGTCCTTCATCTTATATCGGCGAAACAAAGAACTTTACGGAAAGGTTACGCCAGCACATGAACGATGTTCGCAAATTCGATCGAGAACGCAGTGCTCTTGCACTGCGTTCTCGATGTGACTGTGACACCTTTGACCATCCGATAGACTTCGCGAACGCGTCCGTTCTTGATGTTGAAACAAATCTCCGAATAAGACATCACCTTGAATCATGGCGCATCCAAAATAAACCAGGAAATATTAACAGATCCATGGGTACCTTACCATCTGCTTATGTGAGTCGACTACGGCACGGTGATTAGAAAAAGACTGGATGGCAAGGCGGAAGCGCGATTAGAAGATATTCGTGCCACCAAAGAAGACGAGGCTGCTCCCACGCACGAGATCAATCGCCCCTGAAGAAGAAACCGAACTGGTTTTGAAACGTTGGGTCCGAGCTTAATTTTTGGTTGGAGTCAAATATTTTTTTCAGAAAGAAAACCGTTTCTTTAGCTTTCGCTTGGGTGTCACTGATTTCTCGAACGTTGTAGCGAGATACATTGGCACGGGATAGTATCGCGATACACCAAATAGACCAAGAATATATTTCGACACTGCTATACAGGTAGTGAATAAATAAATTGTCTCGCGATTCAGAAATATAAATACTAAAAATTATTTCTGAAATGCTATGGCGATACATTTGTATCGCGCAACTGCCCAACTCGAAGCTTGTTTTATTTACAACAGTAGCTCCCAAGTAGAAAGCGCGGAACAATCAGCGCGCATAAAACAGCACAGCATTTAGTAAGTATTACCCCGGTTGCCGTTAGTACGGCTAAGGTCGGTTTGTGTGTTCGCAGCAGCAGCTTCGTTCGATGTTGGAGAAGGAGAAAGACGAACACGCATTGACGTTGGTTACTTCGGCAGATGTTCAAAAGCAGGTTATAGACATATCAGCGGATGGCAGAAACTTTGCTCCACGGCAAGCGCACCGTCTTGAAGGGGAAGTCAAACTCGGCCAGCGCCGGCGTTACCAGCTTTCCACAAGAGGGTAACTGATGGCGGCCTGCTGCTCTAGAAGAACGTTTCTCGAACTTAGTTACTTGATATCTATAGGGTGGTGTGCTTTGTGCAGCTTGAAGCCTCAATAATACAACGAACCTAATTGCGTTGATTTGTTTCTTTTTTTCTCTCTGTTTCAGCTTACTATTTCGGAGAGGGGTGCCGACGCCATCCGCAAAGTGTCGGGCACGAATTACACTGTCGGCCCAATTAACAAAATCATCTGTAAGTAAATTATGTCGTCCTCATATAGAGCGTGATTTGATAAATCCCTCACAGCTTCAGCGTGTTTGCCTATTCCCTAACGATGGCATCATACAGAGGCATCGCCATCTATGCTCGTTTCTACAACGAGAAAAAAAACATTTTGCGCATTATTTTTGCGTTGCTACGCGGAGTGTTTTCCCGAAAAAAAAAGGGGGGGGGGGGGGGAGATTTGCTTGTCGGAGTAAGAAACAATGTCTTTGTGGTTTGAAACGTGTGTGTCTTGATAAAATAGCATGAAGCTAATCTAAGATGCAAATACATGTAGCTTAATTCATCATTCAGGGGAAAGGAGTAATATTTCATAAGAACCCGGACTCTTTTCCTGCGGTTATTGAAATGCGTACGAGTATAGCTGTAATTGCCTCAGAGCACATCGATTGTGCCCTAGTGAACTGATTGGAATTAGGGGACGCCCCTGGACTACGACGGAGGCCTTGCCGTGGGCAGGAATGGTTTAGGGGTGATAGTGCTCGGATTGCAAAAGTGTGACACAAAACAAACTTACCGGTATAAAAAAAGACATTACCACAGTATGTCTTATGATGAAGCGATCCCGCAGAAGGCTTTTATTTCGGCAAGTCGCCCGATATTGAAGCAGCTACCCGAAGCTCATCGTGGCAACCAAAATGAGTCTATCGGCTGTAATACTGCGCAATACTGGTTTTTCATGTGGGGAAAGCCTTTGCTGCGACATACTTTTTCGACCCAGTAACTTTAAATATACTTTTGGTTTAATAAAATTTAAAAAGCCACTGTACGTTTTCAATTTCCTTTGGGCAGAAATTCCGCTTTGTCTCCCCCTTCGACAAATCGGAGACCCGCAAAAAAGGAAGTTTAGACGGTTGAAGGACAAAGTTTCAGTTGAAGAAAAGAAGGCGGGTGAAAATGTGAAAATAACTAAGTAAATGTCAGAATTTAAATAATGTAGAGCGATGCATTGATCGAAAAAGGCAAAGATGGGACATGGTGCTCCCGGAAGAAAGACGACAACGTGCTAGACTGGACCTCATTACACTGACGGTTGAGAAACAAAATCGGAGAGAATATGTAAACTTTCCGCATCGCCACATTCCCCAAGTACCAGTCAAGCAGCACGGCGATACTTGGCCAGTGTGGCAATGCCGGCCAAAACCCGACTCTAATATCGGCCGAAAGTGCGGTTTTGCACCACGTCCCGATATCCGGCAGGTATTGGCGTCCCGCCGTGCTGCCAACGGCCTAGTATCGTTGGCATATCGTGCGAGTACTACCCATGTCGAACTGTCGGCGAGACATCGGCCAGATATCGCATAAGCGTCTGCTGTGTATCGGCCGGACATTGTCTATGCGCTCGCCTTATATCGGCAATATCGGCAGTATTGACTCGCACGTTAATTCCAGATATAGGGTGCACCTTGCGCGCATACATGGACAAACGAAATTGTTTGCGATCTTTTACAGAACTTAATTAAACCACTGAAATTTCACACAGCTCGTTCTTTCTTAAAAGGAATTCCACCGTTTTTATGCCGTTCAAAATAATGAATTGAACACGAATGGTCGTGGAGGTTAGAGAGTTTTAGTAGAACGTTCGATGACTCCAAAAAACGATCTACCAAGACTACATATTGAACCAAAAGCAGGACTACTATTAGAAGCACGATTGCAGTGCACTTACGAATAAGCAGCGATATGATGTGGTTCGTGATAGATCCATAATCCGACTGGGGCAGCACAGAGCAACGCAGGCACGAATTCGAGAAAGAAGAAGGTCTCCCATATTCAACGAAAGCTTCGCTGTCGCCAAAGGAGCAGTTATTTCTCGAAGGGCGTCCAACAAACACAGCACGAGAATTCCACGCACTCCGACGTAGAAAACGGCCATTACCGAAAAGTTGGCTTGGACGTATTCCAGGCGTTTTCGACGAAAAACTACGGCCAAGTCTGTAACGCACGAAACCAAGAGAACACTAAAGAGCGCATTTCGAAAACCGGATCTACGTAACCCCCTGCACCGATGCCCACAACTTGGCAAGCGCCGCAGGCTACGGTCCCAATAATCTCACCAGCGTGTCAGGGCAATTCACTTGACAAATTTTCGTCCAAGCGATTTTGTTCTACGGAGAACGGTCACATGTCTCGCGCCACGCTTCTAATTTGCTTGAAGGAGCCGTCCAGCTCGCTTACAGCCACACAAAGACACAAAATATCGTGGGGAGGCTTAACAAATGTGAGGTTGAAGGGGGTAGATAGTGCAGGTAAGCTTCTTCTCGTTTCTTTGTCTTTCCTCCTTGAGATAAAAGTAAGCAAATTCTATTTTGCTTTTTTTCAAATTTGGTTCTGAGTTGGTCAAGAAATTCGAATACCTGGGCAGCATGGCCGATCCGCAAACGACACTCCCCACACTCCACGGGTACGGTATGTCAGGATGGCGTCGGCGCTACCGCTATCTGATACTTCACAGATATCGGCTGGATCAAAATGGTACCGGCACAATCTTTTCAACTTGACGCCAATATCGGCGCAATACTCTGTGCAGCCTGGGAACATTTTATTCCAAAGCGATATTCTATACGACAACCCTGCATGAACCTCCCTTGCTCGTGTCGATGTTAGTCGCACCGCACGATCGTTGGTCAACAGAAATGCAATAAAAAATGGCTCGAGGTACAGCTAAGCACTTCTTATGAGTTGTGAATGCGAAAGCATGCCCATGCCGTTCTTTCACCTCCCTTCTTTCGTCTGCCGCGTACGTGCGTACGTGCGTCAAAGGTCGAGCGCGCGCTCAGTCCTCGGCGCGCTGACCTTGGGCGTGGAGCGGTCGAGCCGCTGCCTCGCGGACATGCAGCGCCATGAGGTGCCGATCGTTGAAACTGTCACGCAGCGGCCAATGGGAGGCTCGTCGACGCGCGCCAGCCAATGGGCCCGAAGCCGAAATCTATCAGCTTTACTATGCTCCTTTGGGATCGGGGAAACTATATATGTGTCGTTTGGCAAGGCTTTTCACGTGGTTTCATAGCTTGGAGCTGGTTACACTTGGAGAGAGTTAAGGTGCCGTTTGGCGCGGCATCAAAACTGATGACGTCGGCTCGCTCCATGGGACAGTTAATATTTTCGCATTAAAATGGTTCCTCTATAAAACTCATGACAAATCTGCTACGCCTAAAACGTTATCAGTGGTTCTGCTTCCTCGCGATGCTCTTGGGGTTTTGTGAATCCCTAAGTAAAATCCAGGCATGAAGGGCAGACAGCCGTCTCTAATCAACGAGTAAAGACTCGTTCACACCGTTACGTTTGAGTGCGATTTAATACATCACGATCACATTTGGTTGCTTACGACGAAAGAACAGACGTGCACAAGAGCGCCATCTTTCATGCAGCCCCGAAACAACTATGATCTGTGTATCACTTGTCCTGTGTGCTTCTTCGTCTTTTTTTTTCCGTTTTTTTTTTCGCTATTTTTGGTATGAATAGACCGAAGGCTTTGCCGTGCTTGTCACATGTACGCGCCTCTCTTGAAAAATGGTCCTTTACAACATTGCCATAATTATCTGAAACTCCTGACAAGAGAAGCACGCGTAAGAATGCGGACATGTGGGTATATTATTCTAGGTGTAACCAATAGACGGCTTTAGTGTGTTACCTCCGAGTAAGCGGCCACAACCGAGACACGTTCTCCTTTCAGATCCAGTGACCGGTTCCAGCGTGGACTGGGCCTACGAGAAGGCGGGAGTGACGAAGAGCTTCGCTCTCGAGCTCGAGCCAGGAAGTACGTCGTCCGATTCCTCCCAGGGTTTCCTTCTTCCCCCCAAGTACATCCTCCCTACGGCCGAAGAAACCTGGGCAGGCATCCGCGCTGCCATTGGGTCCCCGTGAACAAGTCGTCATGGCGCAGCGCACAGACTTTCTAGAGTAGCTGACAATTTATTAATAAAAAAAGAAAACGCACGGCGTGGCGGGCATTGAACATCTCGGTGTCACTCCGCACTCAATGAGACAGCCGCATTAACCGAAAAAAAGGTCGAAAAGCGAATCGCGAAACAAGAAGACTGAACATGAATAATCCACAGCCGAGTTCATTTGCTCGAAGAACAAAGAGACACCCAATCAAGGCGAATGGTAGAAGGATCTTAGCAAATCAAAAAGCTCAGAGAAGGTTGAGACCAAAAAAAAAGAATGCTATGTGCACAGTGGCAACGAGAATGACCTGTCACTCGCTCAATGTCCCTGGGCACATTGCACATTGCATTTGTCAGTTCGAATGGTATTCCGAGCATCGTCATACACCGCGATCCTTCTATATTTCGCCACGATTGCCTTTTCTCGTGTTCTGCACAAAATGGAACTCGCAGACTAGTTTTTAGAGTGTATAGTTTATTGTGAGATCGGCGGTTCGCAACGCAAGCAGGAACGTCGGCGTCCGTCCAGAGTACCTCGACACTTGCTAGCTGCGCCTGTCGCAAGATGAACGAGCAATGTAAACGAACATATCGGAATAAGTGTGAGGTGTTTGAAATAAAAACCGAAAACAAGAAACGGATCTTTCTTATTGCGAAAATGAACTACGCATTGCCGTATGCTCAGTTTCCGCCTTTACGTATAGTGCTAGCCGCCCGGACCAAATGCCAAAGTATCAACATTTTGCCCGGTGTGATTCAAAAGTTGTCGGTCATCTTTTTTTTTTTTTTTTTTTTTTTTTTTTTTTGTCCGTGACAAAGTAAGCCGCCTTTTCTGCAGCGCTCGAGCTTCATCTTTAGCTCGCTGATTTTTTTTTTCTTCTTTTTTTGTTTGTATTTTTTGATGACCTTGTTACTCGCAAGAAAATGTCGGCTTCTTTCCTCTTTTGCTTTTTTATCGAGCCTGATTGGCTAAACGCCATTCTTGAAGCCCCAAAAAGCCGATCTCGTCGCGAAATAAACTGATCGTTCTTCCGGCAGTAGGGTTGTTCGCTTTTTTCAGTCAGCAGTTCTTGAAAAAGGTAATTAGCGAGTTCCATGCAAAGCTTTTAGTTTCGCCATTCTAAAACTCACTATTAGCGAGTTTTAAGCAAGTAAACAAAAACTTTGCGTACGCAAAAAAAAAAAGAAAATAGCGTACGCTATTCTTCTTCGTAGGACGTGCCCCACAACGTACACCTCTCACTTGGACAGCTCCATAAGTTGGACAGTCCAAGGATGCACTCGTAGTGTCGAGCTTAGCCAGGCTCCACTACCATTTCCGCTGTCGGTGTGTTTCGATTCGGAAATTATCTGGGCAGCTTCCTATAAGGTGAACATGTAACGCTCTGCAATTGTAACGGAATAAATCGCCCGGTATACAAATCTGTTTGCTTTTTGAACCGTTAACTACAGTTCCTGGATTGCCTTTCCGACTGTACTGTTTCGAACGCACATATCTATGCGATTCCTTTGGCCTTCACATCGTGACGTTACAGCTGTGGAACGCTGCGGTTGGCCGAGATTCTGGCTGTCGTCTCTTCTTTAGTACCTTGCTCAATGGAACTACATAAGTACCATTGAGCAAGTAGTACCTTGCCTCAATGGTAAAACAATCGACAAAAAATCCGACAGACAAGCTAGGGAAGCAGCATGACCGTACCAATCATCTTGCCCAATTTTTATTCTCCGAAATCATATATTCACATTGGTTGCGGAACGATAAGAAGCTGCTTGGAGCTCGTCAGGCCTCGAAGTTTCTGAAGCTGTCAGGTATTAAGCTTTCGCCATAAAATCTCATTGAATAGAACCCAGTGCCTGGAAAAAATTTGACCATTCATCTGCAGACAAAAAAAAGAATTGTCGAAATAAAGCAAAACAAAAATGCAGTCTTAATGTCTTTTTATGCAAAATTTATGTAATTAGACACTGATAACTGCTCCATACTTTCTAATCCCGTAGACTATGTCGATTTCAAGCTAGCTTACGTATGAAAAAAAAAAATGAAACGTTTTATGCATTCTTTTGCGAGCACCGTGTCCGAATTTTCTCTCAGTAAGCCATGGCGACACCGCCACATCTTTGATCTGCACCGCACCAGAGAACGCCATCCTCAGTCCCTTGGCCATCTGATCCGCGCGTCTCTGGGTCCCACCACCTGCCCCTGGAGATGACGTGGACGTGGCCCATGTCCGATCTATCGATGCCGCTGACGACCTGCTTGAAAGCGTGGCCTCTTTCCTTCAGGCCCTCGATTAATTCAGCGTCGACGTCGTCTTCCACCGTGAGTGGGTCACTGAAACAAAGAGGGCTTAATGTTCGGAAGCTCGTTACAAGGATAGGTACTTGTACGGTTTGACTTGACATGCACCTTACGTTCAGTTGTTTAATATGGCTCATCAGAAAATGACAGTAGGGTGCAACCTCACGACGACAGCATTGCATTTGATTACATTATAATAATAACCTTTATTAAATCAGCGTCACCTTCTTCTTGCTACACTGTTAAGGCTAGCCTAGCCACCGTGGTGCTCCCACACTAAAAAAAATATTTACGGCGTCAACTATTATGTGCTACGTCACCAAGGCTAGCGTAGCCTCACCTCCACAGTACTCTAACGTTGTCAATGCACTCCTTCGTTTCAGCTTGCATCCAAACGCAGCCGCCGCTACAAGGTAACGGGAGCAATCAGTCGGCCTCAAAAGCGCCAGTCACGAAGCCTTTTCTACCATGATGAATTAACCTCAGATTTGGCAATACGTAGAAAAGACGAAAAATAGGCAAGACGACGTCTAAAAGTAGACAGGACGATGGAAGAGGTTTTGGCTTCGAGACGTCGTTCTGTCTATTGTCTGTCCTTTCTACGCTTTGATGATTCTCTTCTACCCCAGGCTCAGGTTAATTCAACGTGGTGAATATTTACGAGCTCGTCCGCACCCTCGATCTATTTTCTCCGGGGCCTTTGATGTTTATGATTGGTTCAGCGATGATCGAACACGTATAGAATCATAACGAACACCATGATGGTGCTCTTTGGACGCTCTGCGAATGATCCCCTCTGCTCGTAGCGTCGACTACGCCAGGACTTAAAGGGACACTGACAGGGTACTTATGCTCATCGAGATTTTTAGTTCTACATGACATATGAGAGCCCAACTACCCAGAATACAATTGGCAGCTCGAAATTCGGTTTCTTTCCGCCCCGAAACCGCCAATCGAGAACTGGCCGGTTTGAGTCGCGCTCGCTCTCTTTTCCGGGGTCACGGGCCGTTTTCTAAGGTTTAGACGACAACGACCAGATCTCATCAAAGTCGTGGGTCATTGATGGCGCACGCTCAATATTAAAAAGAGAACGAAAAATGAAACCCATTTTTTGCGGGTTCTAAAAAGCTGCAAATACGTTGACTTAAAAAAGAAAAGTTGCACAGAAAACCGGAAGCCTCCTGTGCGTTCATTGCGTAATTCTCAACATGGCGTCGTATCGCGTATCGTTGGACTCGCGGGCTGGACGGCGATGGCAGCGGACAACAGGCGGGAGGACCTCTGGTTCAGAACTGTCGTTCGCGGTACCGGCGAATTTCTGTTCCTTCGAAAGATACCACGCCCGACCACGAAGCCGATTCGCACTAAGATGTCGCCCAGGCGTCTCCCCTTTTCGTGGCCGAAGACAGCGCTCGGGCAGTTGCCCCCTAATGGGTCTCGTATAAAACGATTTGTCAGAACGACTATTTCGAACTCTAATGCAGTTCGGTAATAAAGAAAACAAATGTTTGCAATGAAGAAAAAAGAAGAAAAATGAAGTGAGTAGCTCAGTGGTAAGGTGTCCGCTTCACACGCAGCGAACCCAGGTTCGATCCAAAGCGTGGGCAACCTGTTTTACATTTACATTTACGATATTTACATTTCCCTTTACCTATTATCACTGAAAGAAAAAATGAAAGCCGTTTACAATTCCCTGTAACGCCGGTTAGAGCGCAGCTCTTGAGGAGGAGGATGGAAGCGTACTGAGGGATTGGTGACTCCTTGAGGTCACGTGACCTCAGGGGGGGGTCGTGTGACGTCAGGGGGATCATTTGACCTCAGGGGTGTGACGCGGCCTCCGGGGGGTCACGTGACCTCAGGGGTCACGTGATTTGAAGGGGTCACGTGACCTCAGGGGGTCACGTGACTTGGGGGGTCACGTGACCTCGGGAGGGGGTCGCGTGACCTCGCGGTTACGCCAACGTCGACGCCGCTCAAGCCGGAAATGGGCCCCTAAGAGCTGCGCTCTAAAAATTGTGAACGAAACGTCGCTGAACTAAATGGTATAGGAATCCCTTTTTGAGACATGCGAACTCAATCTAGTTACTTTCCACAAAACGCAAGGAGCACATAATTCGGGTAGCATTCGCTTTTCGAGGATCCCGTAACTGTTCTGCCGGAATTGCAGCCACCCAATTGTCTTGATCCCGTTGATATTTCAGGAACTTGTGCAGACTCTGCCGCACAATGCCACTTTTGGATGCAGAACTTGTAAGGCAGCTCTTCACGGGACATCTTGGGGGCATTCTTTACGGAGCCGATTACGGGCATTCAAAACGAGCATTCAGCATTAACTCACCTTGAAGCCCAGAAAAGTGAGCGGAACAAACATAACTGCAAAGCAGTCGCGCGGCAAACGGACCCGCAACGCTGCAATGTCGTCTGCTGCGCGCGACAAAAAAAAAAAATCGGAAAGGGGAAAAAAAAAGCGCGGTCGGGTGTAGCCTCGTGACTTCCGGCACACACTTCTGCTGTATATTTCTCCGACCTCCGTGCGCAGGTTTCGGTGTCGGTTTCGAGCAGTTTCGTTTCTTGGCTTTATCAAAAATATACGCGACTCTGTAGCAAAATATGAATTGGGTAGTCTTCTGACACCAAATTGAATCGCCTGGCAAAAAATTATAAAGAAAATTGGGAAAAAGGGGTGGGGGTTCAGTGTCTCTTTAAGGTGAAACAAAGTATAGTTGCGCGAGCGCGTGCGAATGATACGAAAGATGAAACCAAGTGCTTTTCCAGCAGCGGGGGTCTCCAGCGCTGTGCGCGTTACGCTCGCCTTAGCAATGTAACACGATATAGTTGACGCTGAGTATAGGTAAAAAAGTCTTTAGAGCTAAATTTTCCTGCCTCCCTAAAGAAAGGCACCGCACAGAATGGACACGACAGCAATGTTAGCTATCGGCTGGGATTTGTGCCCTCGCCGATTTAACACGAGTTTCAGACGAAGGCTGACAGGGCACTCCTGTCCAGTCTGTGAACTCTACTTTGTTTAGTAACGCAGAAAAATTCAACACTAAGGCCTCCTTATCTAGCAGGAGTTGGGAGAGGTCCGGTGCGCTGAAAATGGTAGCATAAACAAAATAAACAAGCGCAGCAAAACCAGCAACCAAATTAAATTGTGTTGAGTACCCTTTTTTGTATCTTGAGTATCTAAAGTTCTGCAAAAGCGCCATGACGTAGTGTGCTAAACTTCTGGTTTTTGAAATGACTCGCGGACACAGTCAGCGTGAGCCCATTTCTCACTGCCGACAATTTCGACATGGAGAGGCCAGTGTGCTCTTGCGTTAATGATCCGTACAAACCATACGTGGACATTAGTAAACTACATGGTCCGCGACCAGCAAAGAAGTGCAGGACGTGGCGAGCGTCTTACTATCACCCCTTAGCCTATGAGATCGCGACAAATGCCAAAGATAATTTGTAAAACTAAAAGTTTCGTAATTAAAGCCGACCTATCAGACGCCCTTCTTGGGGCAGGATATACTCCTGCTGTCTTAGCACTCATACCGCATTATTTATTTTGAATTTAGAAGCAAACATAAATTGCTTTAGTTGCATCTTTTACGCACCAGTTTTTTATTTAGTCCCCTAATTAAAATAGGAGAAACAAAACATAATAATTCCGAAATGTAGTATGAAATATCTATAGAACGGTGCCGGGAGAGGCAAGACAACACGAATCTTCAAACACTGCTGAGGAAAAAAACCCGAACAGATCAAAGGAAGACACGGGAGACAATGAGGACGTCAAGCGTGCTCAAGCAGGATACACGTACGTACCCAAAGTAATCAACTCACAACCAGAGTCTGCAACAATTAGGTGGTATCTTGCAGGTTGATACGGACAAGAACAAGCGATAACGTAGTCAAGGTGAACAACCGAACGACCACGAAGCAACAAAACATTTAGGTCAATCAACAGCTAGAAGTAAAAAACAAAATATTCTTGTGGATTAAGAAACGTTTTCATGTTATTGCCTGGATAAACGGAGTTGTTGATAAAACGATTCGCGTGACTATCAGTCATCAACAACATAATTGCTTCAGGAAGAGATAATTCGCTAATTCTTAACAATCAGCCTTGTTTTTCACCGCTCGTATATGTTCAAGTAACCTGTAATAAAGTCACCTAGAACACAACGAGAAATAAAAAAACTAATTTGAGGGTTGAGAATCAACGAATCATCTCTCTCCCTGTTGCAATTGTGTCGTCAGTTGGGAAAATAGTGAAGTGCTCCACAGGGAAGGGGATTCTTACAAACGCTCATTGAGAGTCGTTGGTAATTGATAGGCACGCGAACTGTTTTAGCAACATGTCCGTTTCTCTAAGCAATAGCATGGAAACGTTACTTAATCTATGACCATTTTTGATGCGTTACCATTATTACTTATATGACAGCAAAATGTGATGTCGTCCATCTGTGGACCAAAGATTCGAAACAGAGGCACGCCGCGTAGAGAGGAGGAGAGTGGTAAAGGACAAAGGCGAGAGGGACGTGACGTCACGGGGCGGAAGCCAATGCGCGCGCAGATGCCAGAGCGAGCCTGAACTTGCAGGTGTGCGCAGCGCGTATGCCTTGCTTTGTGCTACAAAATGGAGTGGGAACCAAGTGCTAGCGCTGGTCCAAGTAGGCGGCAAAAGAAGACGGATTGTGACCGAAGGAGACGGGCTGCCGAACCGCCGAACAGTGAAACCAGAGTCAGGCATCGGATGCCGCTTCTAAGTGTGCATAGAGGGCGAACGAGACAGAGGAGCAGAAGTAGCCCCTAGCAACAACAACAAAAAAAAAAAAAAAAATACCCAAAGCCGGAAAAAATTAGAAGATCCATTGGTGGATCTTCAAGGAATGCGTTAGCGTCACCCTTTGGAAACACCACACACGTGCTCCTTTGGGAAACTCTAACACTGACCCGGTAACGAAGTCAAAACGAGGCAGCAAGAAATAAAGGAAGCAACAGAAAAAAAAGTGAAAGCCGTTTACAATTTCCTGTAACGC